CTGCGGGCGTCGAAGAGGCATTATCGCTTCGCTGGCATTTTTCTGGCTCCACATGAGCGGGGGCAGGGCGGTGGAGCTGCTGATTTGGCGGCGACCCAAGGCGTCAGACAGCTCCATCCGTCCAGTTGTTCGGCTCCTGACCAGCACCCGACAAAGACGAACGGCAATGGAGAGAAATGAGACATTGTCGCTTTCACTGCACATACTCGTTCATCATGTCGTGACACACAGCATGTGTGAAGTGACATGTTGGAGAGTGAGTGCCGGGAAGCATCTCAGCACGAGCTCTCTTCGAGGAATTTTAACCCACCTCTCCCTCCCAGTTCGTCTCTACGTGAGCTCGTAAAGACTGCTGGACGGTGGACTGGTGTTGGCGACCCAAGGCGTCAGACAGCTCCATCCGTCCAGTTGTTCGGCTCCTGACCAGCACCCGACAAAGACGAACGGCAATGGAGAGAAATGAGACATTGCCGCTTTCACTGCACATACTCGTTCATCATGTCCTGTAGCCGCCGCAGCCTCGACTCGGAGCGATGTTACCCACCGCCAACCTGAGTCGATGTTAAGGGCGGCCTAATGTATGCGTACGCAGTGCATCAACACCGAAATCGAGCGCCCAATCTCACCCTCAGGTCCGCCATTTGTTTTCGCCCTTCCTGGGATATCGCCGACTTGCACAGCAGCGGTGCGGTCATGCATTAACAGTGTTGTTTAGCGGGGGAAAACCAGAGAAAACGGAGCCGGTATACAGTTGTTACACCCTACCCCTAGGTTTTGATAATAGTTGGGGTAGTGCGACAGTGCTCAAACTCAAAGCTGCAACTTTCTTGTTTTTCTCCGCTCACTTCTTTCTCCCGTCAGGTGGCAATGCACACACTTGCAGTCGAAGAGAGAAGTGTTTCCTTTATTTAAGCCTATGCGTAAGCCGAAAATGTGTATAATATTGATGAATCCGGGGGCTTTGTGTTGAGGGGCCAGCGACGGAGTTTAATTGCAAGATGCGAGAAAAACCGCTGAAATATACATGTTGAAAACTGAGGTGTGGGCCTTGGCAGACCGGGAACGGTTCTTTGGGCCTTTGCTGATTCTGGAGCTAAGCGAGGACCACAGCACATGGCACACGGTATAGCGTCAGTGCTGGCTTTTGGTATATTTTTGTATACGCAGCTTGCCGGAAGACGCTGCAGTCCGCTGTGTCCGAAGGTCGTGCTTCGTGAGGACTGCCCTGGATAGCGGACACCTGTGCCACTGATCAACGCAAAATGCCTGCTGAAACCGATCAGTTGAACCGCCTGCTGCCGCATGACACTGCGAAAGCAGCCTGAGTTGCTTGAGTTGACATGTTTCCCGTCTTTTGAGCTCATGTTCATATATGTTCATAAGCTGGAGTGCCGGCAGCATGATCGGGTCGGCCTGTAACTAGGCGAAGGCAGAAAGGGGGCATCGAATGCACATTGGAGTCCGAACGCCAGATCGCATTGCCACCGCCATGCCACTTTCTCGAACGCTTTCTCCGCCTGGTCTGAGCAGCCCCGAGCTGCCTGGAATGGTAAAGTCTGACACGGACTGGCCAGGAGCCTCTTGGAAGATGCTGAAATGATTAATGTAAAGAACCTCACGGCTGAAGGAACCATCACACCCTCAATGAACCCGGACCTTTCCCAGGGTGCACAGGAAACATGTGAATTTCAACACGTCTGAGCCAGGCGATGGCCTTCTCGGAGTCCAGTCTCGCTTGGATAGACTCTCCGAGCAGGTCGACGCATGCCTCTCGGAGATCTTGACTTTGAAGTCCACACAGGCAGCGCCTTCCTCTGTGCGTGGCCCTCAAACAATGGTGGTTCCCTCCACGCCGCCCCTGCGATCCTCCATTGTTTCGAGGGCCTCAGTGGAAAGCTTGTCCGCTTCCAGCTCTGCTCAGGAAGGGAGGGTGTCTTCGTAGTAGTTCCTGTGTGCAGTCGCCGAAGAGTGCTTTTCTTCGTTCACGTCCCTGACAGGAGGAGCGCCCCCGATTGAACCGGTCATCCATCATGTCGCAGGTAACTGTAAGCACCTCCGGGCTCAGCGCACGGACCACGCTTAGCGGGAGGCATCGTGCACTGCTTCTTGTCAAGCTCGTATCGTGCAGTTCAGAATGTTTCGAAAGCGCTGCAAGTGGAACTGCAGTAAGGCGAGGTGCGACAAAGTCAAGAGTTAGCGTGCCCTGCAGGCAGCAGCTGCTGCCCTACAACGAGTTCGGTAACGCAGAAGTGCTCAGTCGCAGGCAGCTTTCACGTAGACTGGGGCAATATCGACGGCGAGCGCGAGCAGAAGAACGGTTTCTGGACGATCCAGCAGATGCCCACGCAAGTGCTGCCAAGCAGTGGCTTGTTCAGAGGAGCCGCTGTGACGCAGTCTGGATAATGCTGGATGAGCCCGACTCTAGCCGAGTGGCTTGGTGGATCGCTCTCTTGCTGAAGCTGTTTGTGGTCGCTAGCATCGTTATCATGTTTCTACAAGTTGGAGATGAAACCTCGCTGATGGATTTGACAACGGCTGCAGTTCTAGAGACAGTTATCGACTCAGTATTCTTTCTTGAGTTTTTGTGTCGCGTACTCTCCGCACCGTCGAAGAAGACATACATCCTGGACCTTTACAACTGGGCAGATATACTTTCGGCTTCAGGCCTGGTTCTGCGCTCATCCATGGGTTTCGTGCCAGCGCCATCGCCGTCTCCGGAAGAAAACGTTGTCCAGGCGCTGCTTTCATACGTCCTGCCAGTCGTGCGCTTGCTAAAGTTGCTGAGATACATGGCTGATGCTGGAGGGGTCTACTTACCAATGTGTTTTTTCGTGGGCAGGCTTTGAGGCGAGAGCTTTTTACTCCAGAACTTGTTTCTGAAATCGCCAGCCAACTTCCAGCAGGCCAGCCTCAATCATCCTCATGCGTTCTTGCCTCACGCAAGGAGGGGTTTGTTGGAAGCCAAGGATACATCAGCTCCTTTCGACTTCTGATTGACGCCGTTTCGAACTCCCTGGAATCCCTTCCAGTTCTTCTTTACACGATGGGCTTGATCGTCCTGGCTTCTGCTAGTGGCTTGTACCTGGTTGAGGCGAGGTCCAACATTCCGACCTTGGTATCTTGCTCGGCAGTTTTCCATCTTGTGATCTGTCTACGATTGCGGAACTGAATGAAGGACACAGAATGCATGGGCGAAAAGAGCTATCAATCTAGGGGCGGATCAAGACAAGCGAACTCAACCACAACTGATGTGATGAGGTTTCCAGGCAAAATGGAACTCCGAGTTCGAGCCCCACCGAACTAAACAATCAAGCGGTGATGCAGAATGCAGTTCAGTTCTAACCGGTGCCTGGGTATGAAACACCGTCCCCCCGCAGAAACAAGGCACACGCAGTTTGGCTTGCCATTGTAACAATGACGACAGTGGGCTACGGGGATTATGCGCCGAAATCTACCGCGGGCTATGTGATCGCCTCGATCCTGACAGTCGTAAGCGTGCTGTTCATCGCTGCCTGGCAGACGAGGAGTTGGAGAGGATCATTTTCATTATAAGAAAATTCAACACGGATTTCAAGCAAGGCGCACGTCCTGCTTCCTAGACGACTCTGTCGAGTTCGTCATGCCACGACACATGCATCCGTATGTGGCACACTGAATCTCAGATCATGCCCAAGCTTTCCCAGGACAACATAGATCCACACCTTGCATGTTGCGTCGTAAGGCTATGCCCGTCGGGCTTGTCGGTTACGAGTTCACAGTTTGTTGGCAGAATCGTGCCAGAGTGCTCCTGTTGGCGCGGGCTCGCAAGCGCTTCGCGCAGTGGGGCTATCAAGGTCGCGATGTGCAACTGCTGTTTGAGTACGCAGACACAGACAGGGACGGATCTCTAAATCTTCTGGAATTTTGCGAACTGCTCAGTGAAATGAAGCTTGGCCTGCCCAGTGACAGCACCATGGCTCAACAGCACGGGTAGGAGCGGATAATCTTGAAGCTGGCGTGCAGATCAATTTGGTTCTGCAATTTCGGGGTTAATTGTTCGAAGCACCATGACAAGAGTCTTTCCACTTGCATGTGGGCCATTGAGGCATCATTGAGCTGTTCCAGCTTTTTGATGACGATGACAATGGCTTCGTTGACCTGGCAGAATTTGTTCGAGTGATCTTTCCGGATCGTGAAGATGATGACGATAGCGCTGTCACACCTTTAGGTTCTATCAGAGCATCTGTGGTAGCTTCAACGAACCTGCCTGCAGTGCAGGAGATAGAGGAGTCAGAGTAGTTTTGGGCCGAGAGCAGGAATTTAAGGAAATTTGACCGTCGAAGATGGTTTCTGCGACAGGCAGCTCTGAATACGTCAAATAAAGTCGAAATTGGTTTCACATGCCGGGGAATTTAGCAATTAGTTTATGATATTATAAAGATATTATAGATTTCGACGAACGAATCTTAATTTTAAGAGATTCTGCTTCAAATAAAATCTCTAAGATGAATAATAATAATTCGTATCTTATATTCGATTATATGGTGAAAACAATACTTATGGTAGAAAAAATATTGAGATTTCTATTATCGTTATAAAGATATAAAGATAATTATCATTATAAGAATTTTATAGAAGATTTACATTTCGTAGATGTAGAAACTTTCTTAGAATATTATATTTCTCTATTTATAAAAATATCTTTAAAATTTGACCGAATGATATAATGAATTGAAAATTAGAATAGATATATATTTTATTATAGAAATTATAGATTTTTTCGACTCTCTTACGAATAAAATATGATAAATTTTCTGAATTTTAGATATTATGAAATTTCCTAAGAGATTTACAATTTTTTTATTAT